ATGGAACTGGACTGATCCAGAAGTTTTATATGCTAATTCTGTTAAGATATGAAAGCACTCTATTAACAATATTAAGCCTTAGATGCCCAACTGTGCAGCCATAACTCATCAATAATGTGAATCTGTGAGCATCTAATCTTACTGGATTTTTCTACTTTAGCTTTCCAAAACAGCTACCTTTATTTGTTCTGGTTATTTTTCTTACTTGCTAAGAACTTTTCATGTTAAATATTTCCATTCTAAGTGAGTAAATTGAACTGAGTAAATTTAAAAATGAATGTCACCGTAACCTTCTTGGGGAGCTCCTGAGTGGTGCAAATGCATCTGAGTGTGCTTGCCGTTCTTTTGTGCTTGGGGTTCAAGTCCATCAAGACAGAGCTCAGAAGAAGGTCCTTGGGGTCTACTTCTGACAGCCGTTTGCAGAGCCCTCAGGAGCACAATTCTGCTTTGCCTTTAAAAAAAAATTGTCGTTATTGACTCTAGGACTTTTAAAGTCTCAATTAAAAGAGGAAAATCTGGAAGTAAACTATGGAAGGATAAGAGGGAAAGGAGAAATAAATAGACGAGGTTAATAATAGAATAAAAATGAAAACAAAGAAGCAGATCTCAAAAAAGATAATTAACAGAATTGCAGGGGAAAGGAGAGAATAGATAGTGCCCTTGAGCAGCTGTCTTTTTGTTCTATACTGTGTAGCTTTTATTTTTCTTAAGTTACAGAAGAATATTCCAATGAAGTGCTAGATAGCATTGATATCTCTTTTTGAATACTGATTTCTCTTCCTTTTAAGAAAGAAAATGTGAGCTTAGTGATAATTTTTTGTCTTTTAGGTGTGATAGCTTGAACAGAATATTTTTATTTCTAAGTCCTAAAGTTTTCTTGTGAATTTGAATCATTAATTTACAGGTTCAGAAGCAAGAGTGGCATCCACTTCCTAAATAACATGCCTCTGGGAACTCTATGAACTTTGATAAATGCCAATAGTTGTAGAGGGGCTTCAGGACTTTTGTTTACAGGGTTGCTGTGAGTCATGCTCGACTTGAAGGCAATCAGCAGTGATAACAACATTTAAAATTCTTTAAAAAAATCTTTGTTAAGTAATATTTTCTTCATTTTTGGGACTTGACACAAGTCTTTTCCTATAAATCAGTGGCAGAATGAATTGCAACTCGGAATTTTTTTTGATTCTGAAAAGTATAATACTCAAAAATACCTTACTAGATAAAACCAAAGTTTATGCAGCCCACTTCTGCTCTCTGGAATGTTTTTGTGGGCACTAATAGATATTTTCCACACTAGCAATTAAGAGAAATCGATTTACACTGTATAGTCACCATTCAATAAACTGATTAATCTAATGGAAAAATTTAGTAATCTTCTGGAATGTTTTAAAAACTTAAGTACTTTCAGTTTATACTATTAAAAGAGAGCAAAGTCTCTTCTTAGTACAAAATTACTTTTTTTATTGCTTCTGAATAGTTCTTCTGGTACTGTGGTAATGTCACGGTTTTGAAAAAAGGAACTCAGAAGATGGGAATTTTTGCCCTGGGTTTGTCCTTAATTAGTTACATAAACTTTATTAAGCCATTTAACCTTTCTGAACCTCCTTTATATAATAAGTACCAAAAACTTGGAAGCATTTTCTCAGTCTAAATAAATCTTACCAATTTCTGCTTGATTTAATAGACTTGGTAATAGTTTAAAAATTTCTGCCTTATCAGACAGTAACTAAAATGTTTGCTTCCTTGTTCTTCCATACTCAGTTTTAAAATTATTTTTATAGTTCCTTTGATCATGCAAATTCTGTCTCTCTACTCTTTCCCTGTTGATGCAGTTCTTAAGATGTGCATGATGAGAACAGTCCTTGGCACTCAAAGTGTGGATAGATGTGCAGTGATCATATATCAATGTAAGATCTACTGTATTTTCTTCTCTTAAAAAAATGCTAGTATTCCTATGACTTTTTTAGCCATAACATTTCAAAATGTCTTTTAGGCCAACCTTTTGCTTTTGGACTAGACTATCCCTAAACACTTTAGTATTCAGTATCTTCTGGGACACAGATTTCACAACCTGTCTTTTACCTTGAGGAAGTTCTTATAGCTAACATAAATCTTGCTTTCTGCACTTCCAGTTGAATTTATTTCCTTTTTCTTTCCTCTGTGGACATGAGAACAGCCTAAAACTGGAAGTGGTGCTTTCTTCTGAGGGTTTGCACCGTGCATAGTGAGATACAATGTCAAGTCCAGCATATTTATTTCAGCTTGCATCTTGTAGCTTTCTGATTTTCGTTTCAGTATTTGTGGTCTCAGGAGATGCTGTTCTTGAAGACCCAAATGAAATAAGAGTCGCATTTCAAGTATCAGTGTTTATTGTGCCTTACGCTATTTAGAATCAAATGAATATCTAAAATAAAAAATGAATTCTCATAACTTATTTTTGAACTTAGATTTGTCTTTTATTTGATGTAATAATATGTGGACTGCAGTTGTGGGACGAGGCTTTTACCTGCAGAGTGTAGACTTGATTATTGTTGTTGTTAGGCGCTGTCAAGTGGAGTCTGACTCATAGCGACCTTATGAACTGCAAATGTGAGCTCTGCCTCTGTCCTGCAGTGGCCTCATTAGCTCTGACACACTTGAGCCCATTGCTCCAGTCCCTCTGTCTATCTCATTGAGGGTCATCCTCTCTTTTCCCTGACCCAGTACTGTTCCAAGTATGTGCTGTCCCTTTCCAAGGAATAGCCTCTCTTAGCAGCGTGCCCAGAGTTTGTGATGTGGAGAACAGCTCTGTCGTCCTTCACTCCAAGGAGCGCTCTGACTGCACTTTTTCTAAGACACACTTTGTTTGTTCTTTTGGCAGTTCATGGAATCTTCAGTACTCTTCTCCAACAGCACAACTCAAAGGCATTCTTCTGTCACTCTTTTTTTAAAAAATTTATTTTATTTCATTATTTTTTGTGTGTACCGTCAAATCAGATCTGACTGGTACAGGAGGAGATTGTTCCTCCTTCTCCAGCAGAGCATCTGGTGGATTTGAACTGTGCCTCTCTGAGATTGCAGCTGCAGCTTCTTGCCACTAGGCTACCAGAGCTCGCCGTGTCATTCTTGTTCATTGTGCAGCTCTCAGATGCCTTTGAGTTGTGGTATTTTAGAAGAGTAGCGAAGATTCCATTAGTCATGCCATATACATAATTCATTCCTTAGAAGGACTTCTAAGTGGCCTAGTGGTACAAAACTACATTGCCATCCCAAAAGCACAAGGTTCAAATCTACCAGCTGCTCTGCTGGAGAAGGATGGGCAGTCTCCTCCCGTGCAATTAACTGCCTCTGAAAACCCTCCGGAAGGTCAGCGATGGGTCAGTTATGACCTGACAGTAGACAAGAACAACAGTTCCCTATGAGTTGAGAGAACAAAAGCTAATTCTTCTGAACGATTTCTCTTGAAGCATATTTCACTGTGTAGTGAAAAAAACAGGGACCCTTCCTGTGCAGTTTGTTTGACTGTTAGCTGTAATGTTTGACAGTTTGGATCCACGCATTGATATATGGGAGAGGAGGCTCAGGGACTCTCCTCCACTGTGACTGCAGCCGTGGAAGCTCCCTGGAGCAGGTCTGCTCCACAGCACATGGTCTTGCTGTGAATCAGCGGCAGCTAACAAGAACCAGGAGATGTTGACTATGAAGACCAAGAACTGTACTAGGAATTGGAGGAAAAGAACACATTCTCTGTTCAGTATTCTACAGTCTTCTGCTGGAAAAGAGATTATAAAGAATAATCATAAAACACTTAGGAGATAGTAATAGAAGTGAATTTATATGTAACAATATGTTTAAAGTGAAATTTACTTTTTTTTTCCTCGTGGAAATACCTTTATTTTTTTTTAAGCTTAAGTTCGTAAACATTGTTTTTCATACCAGATCTTTCCCCTTTCCTTTTCCCAGTCCTCCCTCCACCCATCAAACTGTGCAGCCCTATGATTAAGCCCTCACCCCCGCCCATCCTCACCCCTCTGCTTCTCCCCCCTTCGATCCTCATACATGTTCTATAATCATCATCTCATACAGTATTTGTCATTATAAAACCGAGTTAGTTCATTTAACATAATGTTCTTCAGTCCCTCCCAAGTTATGTAGTAATTTACAAAATCATTGCTCCTGCATGCTGCATAGTATTCCGTCATGTGAATGTACCATATTTTCTCAATCCATTCCATTGTGGTTGGACATTTGGACCATTTCCATGTTCTTGCAGTGGTGAATAATGCTGCTATGAATATGGGTGTACAAGTCTCTGCCTCAGTTCTCATTTTCTCAGGATATGTTCCAAACAGTGGAATCGCTGGGTCATATGGCATTTCTATGTTCAGTTTTTTGAGGACATGCCAAACTGCCTTCTAAAGTGGTGGTACCATTTTACAGTCCCACTAACAGTGTGTAAGAGACTGCCAGATACATCCAGAAATCTGAAGAGAATAAAATTGATGAATAGGACTTTCTAAAGATTAAATCTCTGTGCTCATCAAAAGCTTCTTCAAACAGATTGAAAAGAAAACCCACTGACTAGGAACAAACACCTGACAACACCATCTCAGACGAGGACCTCATAACAAAAGTTTGCAGAATACTCCTGGGCCTCCAGAAGAAAAAGACTGATAATCCAATTACAAAATGAGCAAATGATATGGAGAGACTTTTCACAGAGGAATACATTCAGATGGCCAACAGACACATGAAGAAATGCTCAAAATCACTGGCAGTAAGAGAGATGCAAATCAAAACCGCAATGAGATACCGTCTCACTCCAGTAGCAGTGGCAAAGTGTAATAGGGCAGCAAGTCATAAATGGTGGTGAGAATGTGGCGATATAGCAACTCTTTACTTTTCATTTTAAAGATGAATACAAAAAATATGTTATGGTATACTGATCTTTTCTATTAACTGAGGTAGCCTAAGATGTTTATTTCTGAATTCTGGATTTTTGTTTTATTTTTACTTTGAAGGTTGAACAATTTTCTGAAAGATCCTTCCTCCTACAACGTTTGAAAACCCATGAAAATGCATTAGAAAGACAGTACAATGAAATTACAGACCAAAGGAATACGCTGCTTCATAATTTTGTGAGTTGACAGCCACTTAAAAAAATTGTTTAGCTAATTTTGTGGGTTTTTTAAAATATTTAACTCTACTTATGTATGCTTTTAGGAAATTATCCATGTACATATTGTTCAGATGTAGAAAAGTATTAGTATCTTATTGAAACCAGTTGTTAGGGTAATATAGTTAATATTCTGTTCCATAGGTGCATTGTAGAACTTATATATAATTATAATTTATGTAAAAGAAATGGTGAAATGAATTTGAGTTGCGTAGCCGTTGGAAGACAGAAAGGTTTACACTTTTGTAAAAAATTTCCAAAGGCGTATTTATGAGTGTGAGTTCAAGTGGTGTGACCAGTTTATGAATGTGGCTTATTAGTTGTTAATAATTTCTTAGGGAAAAAAATGCAGTAATATTTAGGTTCTAGCTTCAGTTCTCGATTACTTCTTTTAGTGAAGGAAAGCATTTTTGTGATAATGCCAAGTTTAATTTATACTTCTGTTAATTCCAAATAGTTACATTTTAAATCAAAGAAACACAGAAAACTCTGGTTTGTTAGAGATGAAGAGTTGCACTGTCAATCCAAAGGCATGTAATTTGAGCCCACTGGATGCCCTGTGGAAGAACGAGGGGCAGTCTCCTCCTGTGTGATTTACTGTCTCTGAAAACCCACTAGCGGGGTCGGTATGAGTCGATTCCAACTCAGTGTACATAATAACAACAAAAACACCTATGTTTTCTCTTTCGTGCTTGTTTTACAGGAGACCATAAAGAAAAAAGCAGAAGAAGAGGAAGAAAAATTTCTTCAAGAAATTACAGACTTCAATAATAAATATGCAATAACAAATAAAAGAGAGCTTTTTATGAAAGAAAATGTGAAAATGGAAATATCTAACTTAGAAAACCAGGCAAATGTTTTGAAAATGGGTATGACAAATGATTTTACTTCATTTATTTGGTCTGATTTCTTTTTCATCAATAAATTTTTCAGAATTTTTGACTTTTCATAAGCAAACTGATTTATCATGTAGCACTTCTTTTATTTTTATCTTAATTGTCTTCATGGATATATATCTATTATTGTGAGAAATCTCAAGTTTTTTAAAAGTATGTATGACATGAGCTCTTCGTTCAATAAGCATCTTCTTATGGTCTCTGTGTAGTAGGCACTGTTGTGGGGCCTGGGAATAGAACAGTGAAAACTAGAGAGAAGATGTGTATAAGCAGGTCTTCTCAGTACAGTGTGATAGAAACCCAAAATGAGGAGGGTGTGAATTCATGAGAAGTTTAGAAAAAATGACAGGACTTTGTGATTAATACTGCAATAGATTAAATATGAACGGAAGAAGGAAGCTTTCAGACTTCAGAGGTTAGGTGGAGTGATGGGACTGACAGGAGAAGTAGTGCTAAGGTAGACCTGTCTGACACCTTTCTGGACAGAAAGCTTGAGTTTTGTTCCAGTTGCCTTTAAATTGGCTGAGTCTCTGGAACAGACAGATGGGGATGTTTAACTGAAAAGGGAAATTTGATCATTAAGCTAAAGAGAGACATCAGAGATAGAGATGATTAAATTTGAGAGTGAGTACAGCGTCATGGATGTACCACTCAGACCAAACAGAGAGAGCATGGAAGGAGGACCAAAGGCAGTAATGGAGCCCTGGATAACACGGCAGAAGACTGAGACAGAAGGGATGGAGAGGAAGAGTCTGAGAGGGCACGAAGAATCCTACAGAGAGTAATCATTGGAAACCAAAAATTCAAAACATTTTCCTTAACTATACAGGGCTTCAAAACGGGCTATTAATTTGGCAACTCGAGATGGCCACACTGTTAATCAAGAGGATTATCATGGGGTATAATGAGAATAGTAACAGTAATGAGATTATCATGAAGTATAGTGAGAATAGTGACAGAGTAGTGAAGAGTGGATTGAATCAGGGAAGTAGAGAATGCACATGTAAATGGCATTAAGTGGAAAATGAGTTTGTAGAGGAAGCTTTTCCAAATTGTTGTTACCTGTATTGTGTTCTCTGTAAATGGAGAATTAGAAACACATTTAACTTTATAATGACTCATAGCTCTTGTTATGAATAATTAAGTGTTGTGCTTTAAGTATAACTATTATTTTTATTGTAGACAGTGCAGGAGAGGAAGACCCTTGATGAGATGGATTGATTCAGTGACTGGGATAATGGAGCTAGGTGTGTCAGAGACAGTGAGATTGGATAGGGCAGGGCTTAGGGCTGTTGTACACAGGGTCGCTATGAGTCGCAGGTAACTCAGCGGCACATAACAACACAAAAGCATGTATTAACAACCACCATTCTGCAGAAGATAAGGACTACAGCCTTCAGTATGGATTTCTTCTCAATATCAAGTAAACAAAAATCCTCACCACCAGACCAGTAGGCAGCATTTTGATAGATGGAGGAAAGATTGAAGTTGTCAATGATTTCGTCTTAGTGGATCCATAATCAACTTTTGGTACCTGCAGTTAAGAAATTAATAGACAAATTTCACTGGAAAAATTGGTCTTCAAGGACCTCTCTCCAGAGTACAAAAGAGGAATGATGTAATTTTAAAAACTAAGGTGCGCCTAATCCAAACTATGGTTGTTTGGTTTGTTTCTGTTTTGTTGTGTTTTTCCATTTACTTGCAATGCATCTCTGGTGGCTGCAATCCCAAAGGCATGCGGTTCAAATCCACTAACTGCTCCACAGGAGGAAGATGGACAGTCTTCTCCCAGGCGATTAACTGTCTCTGAAAACCCCCAAGAGGGTCAGCTATGGTTCCAAATCTACAGTACGCAACAACAACAACAACGTGCATCTGCAAGTTGGACAGTGATGATGACCTTTGAGTCATTAATACCTATCAATACCCAACTCAGTACCTTTGAGTTGTGATGCCAGAGAAGAATACTGAACATCACATGGACTTCCAGTAAAAAAAGGCAGGTCTGTAGTAGAGAATGTGAAACCAAGGTGCTCCTTAGACACCAAGATGGTGAAACTGTGCCTCACATACTTTCAGCATGTTGTATGGTGAGGCCAGTCCTTGGAGAAAGACTTCATGCTTGGAAAGGTATAGGGTCGATGTAAGAGAGAGGAGGTTGGTTTTAACGTTTTAGAAGTAATCAGTGCAACATTTTATATTAACAAAATGAATTAAAAATTACACCTTATGTAAATGTAGAAAAAGCATAGGATGGCGTCCATACGTGATCAAAATACTCAGCCAACGAGAAATAGAACTTCTTCAATGCATTTACTAGAATATTTAATGGTAAAATACTGATTCCTAACATCACACTTAATGGTGAAATATTAAATACTTACCCTCCACCCCCAAGAATAAGAATAGGACAAATACCTTCATTATCATCATTTCAACTCAAAATTTTGAAAACCCTAGTCATGTGAGCTATCGCAAGAAACAGTGTCCAATACGATTTTCTTAAGAAGATGAGCATTAATGGAGATTTGTGGGAAGAAAGGATGGACATTCTAGGTAGAAGAACCAATATTAGCAATATTGTGGAAGCATATAGCCATTTGAGGCAACATCTTTTCCTAGATCCTTCAGGACTTACTGTGCTTAGTGTTAGGACATTACTTTCAATTCTCCTTTGATATCCTAATTATCAATTTACTTGTTGTATCTAGTTAGTACACAGTGAGTCCTGGTCTGTTTCTTAATAGGCTTAAAATTGCCCAGATGGTGCTTAAGTTTCTACTGTGTAGGAAAAAGTAACAAATAACTGATGTGTTTTCTGTTACGCAAAAGCAAAGCCTAAATACTTAACATGTAATTTTTATTTGTTTCTAGAAATGAAGTCAATGGAACCTGATAGTAACCTGTTAAATGACCTGCAAAAGCAAAAGCATGAATTAATGCAAGAATTACTTACTCTCCAGAGAAAACTTAAAGGTATTATTTTTATGAGTTAGGTTATTTTGCTGGTGAAAATAATTGTACACACGTTGTTCTATGCCATCGAGTTGGAACTGACCCATAGTTGACCCTCCACATACATACATAATAGGGTGTTATTGTGCTTTCAAAATTAATTGTCCAGTTAGGATGTGCTGTTGTTGTTCTGTGCTGTAAAGTTGGAACCAACTCATAGCTGACCGTCCAGTAAGTTTATAGAGGCTGTAAATCTGACAGGAGGAAGTAGCCCACGTTTCTCCTGCAGAACAGCTGGTACCTTTCGGATTCATCACAGCTCCTTCCTCACTGGACTCTCTAGTTGGGATCTAGAGATACTTACTTTTTAAAATGTAAATAGATAATAAAGTTGGGGTACAGTAATGTTATTTACATTAAAAAGAGCTAGATAAAGGCAGTGTTATAGCTGGTGTTTCTAATTTCTCAACTTTTGCTAAAGTCACTAATACTGTGTTTTACATGCAAATGCCAAAAAATGGAGCAATATTCTAGAGTGAAGACACTTTTTATACTTGATTTTAAAAATTTGCAGAAATGTTATTTATTTATTTATTAGGTTTTGAAGATAAAGAGAAGGAGGCCGTTTGTACTACCAAATACCTAGAGGCAGAAAAAATCAAAATCAGTGAAAAGCCTCAAAATGATGCTGAATGCTTAAGGTAAGAATTTCCTGCTAGAATTTATCTTAAAATTTGATAGTTTTTCAAATTTTCAGATGAACTTCAGAATAAAGCTAAGTGCACAATTTTTTTGAAGTTCAAGGTGAAGATGACATTTCCTTCTTTGTGTATTCTGAAACATGCTAATAAACTTTTCTCTGCTTGGAAAATACTACACATATTTTAAGACACATGTTGCTGTTCTGTGCCATTGGGTCGCTTGTGACTCATAGTGACCCTGTGCACAGCAGCTCTCAACTTGGCTTTATCTTGAGCCAACCTCTTTGTCTCTGACACACACATCCCCATTACTCCAATCACTGAGTCAGTGCATCTCATTCAGAGTCTTCCTGTCTTGCACTTTCCCTCCACCCTCCCAAGCATGATGTCCCTCTTCAAGGATTGGTCCCTCCTTGCAACATGTCCATAGTATGTATGACAGTTTCAGAATCCTTGGCTCCAAGGAGCAGCCTGGCTTCACCCTCGCCAGGACACGCAGTCAAATACCTATGCATAGACGATGAAACACAGATAGACATTCTTCTGGTGCTCTCTGCTTTCAGCCAAGATCCATCTAACATTGGCTATAATGTCCCTAGTGCCATGGCCTCTTCTAAATCCAGCCTGCACTTCTGGCAGTTCTCTGTTCATACGGTGCTCTAGTTGGTTTTGGGTAATTTTCAGCAGAATCTTGCTTGCATGTGATATTAATGATATCGTTCAAGAATTTCCACACTCTGTTGGGTCACCTTTCTTTGAAATGGGAACAAATATGGACCTCTTCCAGTCACGTGGCCAGGTGGCTGCCCTCCAAAGTTGATAATATTAAAATAAATCTTAACTGTTCCTTTTTTTTTGGTAGCTTTTGGCCTTAGTGTTATTCACATCACGTTAGAGTAGACTAGTATTTGTTCTTCATGGTCCTTTCGTTATCTGTCATTATTTTGGAGATACGACTGAAACTATTCCTAATTTTTATAATTTCCAGGAGAACAAGCATCACAACTACTTTATCTAAAATGTGATACTCTGGTTTTACGCCTAAACAATGAGAGGGGATTTTCTTTGTGGAATATTTAGATGCTTCTTAGCCGTTTGGATAAGAAAGAATGGCTCATGTTTGAAATGACGTCCTCATAGCCATGATGGGGAAAGACCTCACAATTACTAATTTGACTACTGCTTTTTAGTAATTCAGTGTCAGATTCATCGACTTAAATTTTAAATATGTTTCTGAGAAGAGTCCTTGTTACCGAATCTATGAAGGAACAAATGAAGCCTGCATTCCCATAAATCATATAAGAAATATGCCCACTGTAGCGGAACTAGTGCTTCACGGTAGCAGAGTATTGCTGTAGGCCTTAATTTTAGTATATAGTGAGAAAATATTTGCAATTTAATTTTACATCAGGATTTATAAGCATGAAATGTCAATATCTTGAGTGATACGCTCGAAGCGAAATTAATTTCTCTAATGACAATCTGCTCATTGATTTATTTTTTTTTTACACTCTAAAAATGACAGTGCCCACTAGTATCATTATTATTAGCAGTGTTAGGGCTTCCCGTTCGAGCTCCAGTGTGTGGGTTTGTCATCCAGTGATAAGTATTTGTGCTAGGTCAGTATTAAACACACACAGTACATTAGAGGACGCTTCCCTTTTCACAAATGTTGGAAAAGGAAATTTGGGTAGGAAGAATCATCAGGCCTCATACCTAGTCATTCATTGGCGTTTCGGCACTTATCGATGTGTTTACCCAGACGCTCTTCAATTCCTGAATCTCTATAGCTTAGTTTCCTATTGGATTGTTCTATGCAAGTCATCCGTAGAGTGAACAGCAGTCACACACACGTGTACAGCGTTTAGGAAGAGAGCCATCAGTTTTAGGATTAATGCAGTAATGAGGGACTGATTTCCGCCAGTGCGAGGGCATTATGGAAACCATGAAGGCCAAAATCAAATTAATTTTAACCTTAAAAGCCTGGAGTAGACTAGCCTTTACATCGACGTATTCAGATGTTTAGTGAATTCTGTAATAGTTACATTGCTGTTAATTATTTCAGGTTTCATTCTTAATGACATGGATGCTTCTACAGCAAGGTTTCTCAAGCTTGGCCCTTTTGTCTCAGATAACCCTTGTTGCAGAGCCTATGCTGTGCATCCTAAAATGTTGAGCAGCATCTTTGGCCTGTACCCACAAGCTGCCAGTAGCATCTCCCGTCTGAGCTGTGACAGCATGTCTCCAGTCATTGCCAAGTGTAGTAAATGAATGTCATAAATCTGTAAAAGCATTCCCTACTGTCCTTCCTCTGTGTTCAGAGAGATCTTGTTCATAATTCTATTATTGTTGTTGTTGTTATGTGCCATCGAGTCGCTTGCGACTCATAGCGACCCTATGTACAAGAGCTCTAAATGCTGTTCTATCCTGTGCCAACCTAGCCATCTCAACCTAGCCACCGCTCCAGTCACAGAATCGATCCATCTCACCAGAGGTCTTCCTCTCCTTCACCTCCCCTCCACTCTGCCAAACATGATGTCCCTTTCTATTTTCTTTTTTGTTTTCCTTTCTATTTTCTTGTGATAATTATTGATGTCTCTATCCGTTTATCCCACTGAATTGTGAACCCTCACAACCTTTAGGGAGCTCTGGTGGCCTAGTGGTAAGTAAGAAGCGGTACTGCACTCCCAAAGGCACATGGTCAAATCCATTCATCTGCTGTGCTGGGAAGAGGATGGGCAGTCTCCTCTCCTGCGATCGATTCCCTCTGAAAACTCACTGGAGGGTCAGCTGTGAGTTGGTTCTGACTTGAGGGCAGGCACCACCATTTCTTATCCATCTTTCTATCAGTCTCTATCTAGCACAGTTCAGACATAGTGCATATTCAGTAAATACTTGTTTAGTTTTTGGATCTTTGTGTAATTGAATTTTCACTACAAAGAAAAGATTCATGGTTGTTTTATTGGGTACTTCCAAAGAGATGATATATTTATTCACTGATAGCCCCATTTTAGATTAGAATGCTTCTTTTTCATCTCTGATACTTCTCTTCACGTGGAAGAAAACTCTTACTACTTTGACTCCTTTAACCTGTAACTTCTTCTAGAGAGCATGACTCTGTTTGATAGGTGAGTTTGGAACAGTAAACAGGGTGATGTGAAATCCAGTACTTCTGTTTTCCCTACGTCTTTGGAAGTTGGTCCAACTCAGAAGGCTTGTACTCCATTCTGCTTCTCTGTTCCTTACATGTCAAAATGGTCAGGAGGAGAAAGCTTGTGAAGTCCAGTACTGCCTTGAACTCTGTGAATTGCTAATCTAACTCTGGTACATAATATCCCTGTCTGCAGATATAAACAACATTATCTAATAGCTCCTCTATATCAGTAATACACCTGACGTTTTGGCCCTTCTGGCTGCCCCATCTTTACGCTGGGCAGAAACCAGGGAGGACAGTGTTGTCTAATGGGCTCCTACAAACTTTCAATACCGATTATTATTACCCAACACCAGGAGATAGAGTTCTTGAACATGGTTTTTATTTGCTCCAAACGAGACAGACAACTTTAAACATCCCAGGCATCTTCTTTACCAAAAACTTATTCTAGACTGTGTTTACATTTCCATAACCAGTATTTGCACTTATTTAATAGAATGGGAAGCTTGTTTCAGAAATCAAGCTGCAGAATCAACAGATGAGATTTTCATCCTGAGCTCTTGATGGGAGTGTGCTTTTGTGAAGAGCATATTTGCCACGGGAACTGCACAAAAGTTAATATATACCTGCTACTGAGAGACTCTTAATGCATTTATATGAAGTAGTAAATCAATGCTGGTGCCTTTTCAGGGAAAAAGTCATCCAGTTAAGTTGGACATAGAGGTCATATTGATGGTCCTGATTTATAAGACAGCATAAATACACTGTTCAAATACTTCTAGGTGCTAAATGATACATAGATAAGTATATGTATGCATATGTTTATTTTGTTAAGTATGTATGTATATGTTTAAATTATGAAAGTAGGTTGTATTGATTGATTCAGAATTCAAATGGTACAGAAATATAAAATGTACAAGTCTCCTTTCTCATAATCTCACTCCCACACCCTCAGCATAATCATTAAAAGTTAAAATTTTGAAGCGTTTCCTTTCACAGTTTCTATTTCTCTGTATATGTTTGCACATGTGTTTAACAAGATAGGATTGTGTTATCACTTTTACTTAGCTCAATTTGTTTCACTGTTGTTGTTGTGTACCGTAGAGTCAGAGCTGACCCACGGCCCTCAGGCAAGTTTTCAGAGGCAGTAAATGGCACGGGAGGAGACTGCCCATCTTTCTCCCACAGAGTGGCTGGTGGCCCTGAACTGCGTACCTTTGCACTAGACCACCTTGCCATAATATTATAAAGATTCTTCCATGTCAGTTTATACTGACCAATTTCATGCTTTTTTGGTCATTTTATGCAAAGTGTGTTTATGTAACCATTCTTGCAGAGAGGAAAATCCAGGGCAGTTTCTAACCATTCACAGTTAAAACATTCTTATAAATGCATCCTTAAAAACCTGTGGGGAGTTTTGGTAGCATTACTTAGAATAAGCACCTTCGCATTATTTAGTGGATTAATAGGCCTTGTTAGCGAGGCTACATTTAGAAAACAGTTCACCTTTACTTTTTGGTGCCCTGTGTTATTAGTAAAAATGAACTCAAAGTGGGCAAGTACAATACGGCTCAGTTCGAATGTTTCTAAAAAATAATAATTCCATAATTATAGAACTGCCCTAACACATTTCATCCCTCTCTTCTTGAGTTATAAAAATCATTTCTTTCTAAGATCCTTCTTCACCGTGCATTTCGGCGGCGGCTGCTGCTGACTCTGCTTGTTTTCTGGTAGAACTTCATCATTTATTCACTAACAGAAGTGTCTTCGCAGCATCGATTATGTTGCTCTCTTGCTAATAGAGATCCCTTGTTTTGTGAATTCTCGGCACAGACTCTAGTTATCA